TCCAATGCAGAAGCTCTTGATTGTAAAAAAGGTCTGGGGCTTTTATGAGGTTAGGAAAATCAAGCTGCCACAGGAAGATTTTGGTTGGTCCTTTTGAAACTGGCGGCCACTGCTGGCATGTTGTCATTAGCTAGGAGCATGTGTCTTTAGTTACCGTGCTTTTGGTCCCCTGACAGGTTGTCTTGGCCAGTTTTGCTTGCTCATTGTGAATTTGCATGTGCTTACTTGCGCTTGCACGATTGCCCTGCCTCGCTTGATAAAGCTAGGCTTGTGGGATGGTTCTTGTGTCTGGGAAGTTCAAATGGTACAGTTTTAGCATCCTGTTGAGAGGACCCTGGCTGCATGACAACAAGGCAAAGAAATGGAAAGAAATTTGGCAGGGCACGGGAAGGACCAGGCTCATGGAGGCCTAACTTCATACAAGTGCAATATTATTCCACCCCAGCTCCCTGCCTTTCTCTGTTTCATTCTGATGACACTGGATGTATTGGGGCAGTGTGGCTGGAGATGACACGCTCTAACTCTGTAGTGTTCTCCTACCTCTGCTCAGCTGGTACCCACTCTTGCAGCTCACACCCCCACCCCCCAAAGACCAGCATCAAATCTCTTAGAAAAGCTGTGCCCCTTAAGAACCTCCACCTGCGTTGCAACTCTTAAAGGGCCTCCCACCTCAATACTGCCACACTGGGGACCAAGCTTCTAGCACACAGCCCTCTAGAGTACACATCCAAACAATGCTGCCTCAATAGCAGGACCTCTTGGGGGCAGGTGACTGCTGTGGTAGGAAGGCGCTTAAAGTCCCCTCGAGTGTTTCCAGCAGGGTCCCTGACCCAAGAAACAGCAGGTCCTGCATAGGGAGTTTATACCCTCCATGGAGTTCGCCTGTGGGGTCAGGATACTGCTAGGGACCTAGACAGTGGATCAGCATGTAGCTCTATTGGGGCCTTTATAGCTTGTCCGGTGACAGAATGAGCCTTTTAGGGGGCAGGTATGGAATCTGTACCCTCCAGTATATCCATCTGTCCCAATAGCTCCTACCTAGCATTCTTAGAGCTAGAAACCCATCACACTTTGGGGGGGGGGTGTTCATCTGAGGCAGAAAGTTCAGCCATCTGCATTTATGGTCACTTAGTGAAAGGTCTTAGTCCATCTGTCTAAGTCTCTCACTCTCCCTCAAGCTAACTTACGCCTCTATTTCATAATATACCAATTTGTCGGTCATTAGCCCCACGTTAAAGTGTGTACCTTACTTAAATATAATTCACCTCTTTCTGATCCTATTAGCTGATAAAAAGCATTAGCAAATTGTCACACGTTTAAATGACCGTGTAATAGTGATTGGTTTTAATTGCCGGTGCCTAAGTGGCCATTATAACAACGTGGTTTGCTTCCTAAGTCAGGTAGCCCCTCATTCTCTGATGAGGGAAGCTTGGGACTCAGCTGCAGCAGAGATTAGACACAGGCCCATAGCCTGCTGGGAACAAGATCGGGGGCTCTATATTTTGACACTGACCTCGGGAGTCTTTGTCGTTGTTGTCATCATTGTTATAAAATAGTCATAATACAATGTCACCCTTTCACCATTTTAAGCCTACAATTCCATGGCAGAGGGATAGCCACACTGCTGTGTGACTCTGCTACCTAAATCCATCTCCTTAGGACCTTCCCATCTTTCCCTACTGAAACGTTGTTCCTGCTAAACAACTCGTTCTCCTCACCCCCAGCCTTGGAAATTGGTGTGTCGTTTTTTCTTTTCTGTGAATGTGATTCCTCTGGGTCCCTCCTGCAGAGGCAAAGTATAATTTTGTCCTTTTGTGGCTGCCTTCGCTTAGTGCACGTCTTCAAGTCTCAGTATCCCCTTCCTTATTAAAACTGAACAATATTCCTTCATGTATACATGCTGTTTATCCATCCATTCAGGCCCAGGCACCTAACAGCTTCCTTCTGTCAGTGATAACTCATAACGCTGCTGATGACCTCCACACTTGAGATTTGTCTTAGGTTGTAATTCTTATGCTTTTCCCATACAGTTTACTACAGACAGTTTACTCTACTCATGACTGACATTCGATTTCACTATGACCCCTCAGTGGCTCAGTTCGAATGCCTACGCAATGTTAACGTAACATGATCCTGTATCGTGTGCAGATGGATGCAAAACCCTTCACAGCAGGCTCACCGAGCCACTTGAGAATCCAGAGTTGACCCTCTCCCATTTAAAAAGATGTGTAAGTACCTCCCCCCCCCCAAAGCTATCTATGCTATCTCCAGTCTCCACGAGAATTCGGGAAGTCATCTTTACACTATGTGTTTAAACTCGCTCCTAGGTCATTCGCTTCTGCAAAATGGGAAAGTCAACAGTTTTCCTACCAGAGTATTGGTTGAACTGCAGGAGTCCCTGATCACTTCCGCTTGGACACCACTATGCAGCTGCACCTCGACTTCAGAGAACCTCCGAAGGAGGGAGATGGTCGGGGTTAGAGCATTTTGGTGCTCATTTAGGACACAGAGCAGATTAGAGACAGGAAGGGGAAAGAGAGGTGGGGACTTTCCCCTCCCAAGCAAGAGTCATTTTCCAGTACCTTTGTCTCTGATCACTGGCAGCTCTAGCCAGTAAACAACCCTGACCACCACTTTTACCCACACCTTCTCTCAAATTGCTGCATACCAATATATGTTCTGTGTGCCAGGCAGGCCTTCTGTGCAGGTGTATGTATTCCCCCCTTTCAGGGAAGTTCCAGGAACAGAGAGAGAGAGAAAGAGACAGAGAGAGAGAGAGAGAGAGACAGAGAGACAGAGAGAGACAGACAGAGAGAGAGACAGAGAGAGAGAGAGAGACAGACAGAGAGACAGAGAGAGACAGAGAGACAGAGAGAGACAGAGAGAGACAGAGAGAGAGACTGAGAGACAGAGAAGGGGGGGCTGTCCAGAGGAGAGCAGCAAGTACTGGGAACTGCGCTCAGGTCCTCTATAAGAACATTCACCTTCTTTATGTAGGCATTTAATGCTATGAACTTTCCTCTTAACACTGCTTTCATTGTGTCCCATAAATTTGGGTATGTTGTGTGGTCGTTTTCATTGAATTTTAGGAAGTCTTTAATTTCTCTATTTCTTCCTTGACCCATTGATGATTCAGATGAGCATTGTTTAATTTCCATGTGTTTGTGGGCTTTCTGGATTTTGCAAATCAAAACAACTCTGAGATTCCATCTTAAGCCTATAAGAATGGCCAAGATTAAAAACACTGATGACAACTTATGCTGGAGAGGTTGTGGGGAAAAGGGAACACTTCTGCATTGCTGGTGGGAATGTAAGCTGGTACAACCCCTTTGGATGTCAGTGTGGAGATTTCTCAGATGATTAGAAAGCAACCTTCCTCAAGACTCTTTTTTGGGTATATATCCAAAGGATGCTCAATCATGGCACAAGGACATGTGCTCAACTATGCTCATAGCAACATTGTTTGTCATAGCCAGAAACTGAAAACAACCTAAATGCCCTTCGACCAAAGAATGGATTAGGAAAATGTGGTACATTTACACAATGGAGTACTACACAGCAGAAAAAAATATAACATCTTGAATTTTGCAGGCAAATGGATGGAGCTAGAAAACATCATTTTGAGTGAGGTAACTCAGACCCAGAAAGACAATGTACTCACTAATAAGTGTTTTTTAAACATAAAGCAAAGAAAACCAACCCACAAATCACAATCCCAGAGAACCTAGACAACAATGAGGACCCTAAGAGAGACATACATGGATCTAATCTACATGGGAAGTAGAAAAAGACAAGATCTCCTGAGTAAATTGGGATGTGTGGGGACCTTGGGAGAGGGTTGAAGGGGAGGGCAGAGTCAGGAAGGGGAGCAGAGAAAAATGTATAGCTCCAATAATCTCAGGTCGTATTTCAGAGCAAAATGATAAGGAATCAAGTTGTGGATTTTGCCAAGAAAAACACCATTCTCTTGTCCATGTGTCGGGTCCCTGGAGTGCTGAATGGTGTGCCACTGTCTAAGAAAACTAATACAGAAAATAGTAAATCTCACAAAGGCTTGTCCAAATCCAACCATCTGTGTGTGTGCTGTATCTGGCTACCCTGTTCCCAACAATACGTAAGAAACTTTCCGGCGGTAATTACCAAAAGCAATCGGAAGGTGTGTGCCATCTGGCTGCCCAGGATGTGTGGGACCTGAAAAGTGTGTTTGGTAAGACGGACTTTCAGCATGTCCACTTTTCTTCAAGTGAACATTCTTCGAAAGCTAGAAGACCAAGGAGACCGTTACATGTTTCTTGGCACCACGGTTTTATGTTCTCCTTCCTCCCAAAGAGTTGTATGTTATCACCCACTGAGCCAATAAAGCATCCAGGATCTGATCGTAATGTCATGTCGAGAGCCAGAGAAAGCTGTGAGACTCAGGTGGGGCTTTTCTTATTTGGTCTTTTAAATGACGCGTGAGCTGGCCTCGTGGTGAGGTCCTTCCAGTGCAGATTGGCCTTGGGTAACAAACTGAAGGCCATAAGCGAGATAACTCATTTGAATGACTATGGATGCTGTGACTGCTCCCAGCTCTTCCCCTGCCTGACCGAAATTTCGGAGAAGAGCTTTGTCTACAGTGCCCTGGAAAGCTCCAGAAAGTCACTTTGAAAATCAGGAGCTTGAAGGACCTTCAGCTGTCTGCGTTTTGCCTTAGGCACTGTCGAGGTTTGAAGAAAGAACTAACTCTGTGGAGAGCCTCCCACCAGGAGCTTCGTCCGACTCAGCAGATCCCTCCCAGGGCACTCAACTGAGAGAGAATAAGATGGCCTTCAGCTGATGGCAAGATATCTGCGCTGTGTTTGAAACAAATAAAGACCTGGAAGTGCTGACGATGACTGACGGCTTCCTGGAGGCCCTGTTCATACAGAGAGTCACCACCTCCCTGAAGAAGCCCCAGTGGAAAGTGCAAAGGTTACAGTTGAAGCCCTGTGGGGCCACCTTTAGAGACTGGATTCGGCTTGCCAGCACTCTTCAAAGGCACACGCACCTGAAGACTCTGTTACCGAGAGCAAGCTCCCCAGGTATTTTTGGGGGTGAAGTACCTGCTGCTGAGTTACCTCAGGGAACAGATGCTGGAGAATTGTAACCTCACTAAGGCCTCCTGTGAAGAAATCGCCTTCTCTCTGAGGCACAGTTAAGATGCTGACCCACCTGAGCCTGGCAGATGCTGACTGCAACTTGCTGGTTCCGGAGCTGGACCGGTGTTGGTTCACCTCCTCCTCTCTCTTGCCACACATGGACACCCATGCTCTGTTGCCACAGGAAGCTGAGGTACCTGGACCTGAGCAAGAACATTATCGGAATCAATGGCATGCTTGCCTTGGCCGTGGCGTTCTTCAGCCAGAGGCAGGCAGAAGAGGTCGTGCTGAAGAAGAAATCAAATGATTGTGTGGACATGCACACAAGACTACAGGTTGTAAGCCATCATGTGGTTGCTGGGAATTGAACTCGGGACCTTTGGAAGAGCAGGCAATGCCCTTAACCTCTGAGCCATCTCTCCAGCCCCTAGACCCTCTTTTATTATAATAGCCTTCCTGCCATCCTTCCCAAATGAGGCCTAGATGAGTTTGCCTGGATCAGGGTTTGATGTATTGGATTTACTTGTTTATTTTGAGGTAGGTTCTCACCCTGTAGCCCTAGCTAACCTGGAACTTGCTGTGTAGGCCAGGATGGCTTTGAACTTATGGAAATAGGTCTGCCTCTGCTTCCGGAGTGCTGTTAAAGGCCCGTGAGGGAAAAGTCCAGCCCCTTCATTGACTTATTTTTAATCAAGTATCCTAGGATGTCTTATCCAGCTTGGTTGGTCCAATTACAGTGAAGATCAATTTTTTATCTCAGATCATTTTAAGAAGAGAAATTCTTTTTTTCTTTTGTGAGGATGGTCTAATACTTATGAATTTGACATCCTAAGAACCAAGGAAGCCACCCTGGAGGAGACTGACCACGGAAGTTGAGAGGGAGGGGTAGGATGTTGAAAAATTGAGTCAGAACCCCAGCCAAATCCATCAAAACCATATTGTGCCTCACCATTTGAACCATGAAATTAAATTTATTCCATCAAATGTCAAGAGACTTTTCTACAATTTTCAAACAAAAGCATTTTAGCTGACCCAGTATAAAAAGTACTTAACAAGTAGAAAGTATTGTTGTTAACTCAAGTGGTTTAAATGCGCACTGAAAGTGAGGATCCCTCTGTCTCCTCATCCCCTTTTTCTTGCCCTTGTGTGTGTGTGCGTGTGTGTGTGTGTGTGTGTGTGAGAGAGAGAGAGAGAGAGAGAGAGAGAGAGAGAGAGAGAGAGAGAAACAGACAGACAGAGAGAGAGAGGCAGAGAGACAGAGAGAAAGAGAGAGGTCTTAGTTTATTTATATGCATATAAATACGTGTGTATATATATTTTTATATGTACATTACAAAATACTCAGTACTCAAATGAGCCTACGTTGGGAATATTACGTTAAGGTGTGTTACTTTTGTTTTTGTTGCATTTCTTTAACTCCGTGAAGCTGTGATACTTTTCCTGTCTAGAACACCTGATGGTCTAATAAAGAGCTGAACCGTCAACAGCTGCAGGAGAAAGGATAGGCGGGGCTGGCAGGCAGAGAGAATATTCAGTAGGAGTAATCAGGGAAGTGGGTTTGGAAGAGAAGTAACCAGAGGAGGAAGAGGGCATCGGGGGCCAGCCATCCAGCTACACAGCAATCCATAGAGGAAGAATCTGATTTACAGAAGTAAGAAAAGGGAAACCCCACAGGCAAAAGGCTGAGGGGATAATGTAAGTTAAGAAAAGCGGGTAAGAAAGTAGCCAAGATAAGACCCAACTTTCACATCTAAGAATAAGCCTCCGTGTGATGTGTGATTTACTTGGAAACCGGGGTGGTGGGCCCGCCAAACAATCCTAAGAGCTCAATAACATATTACTACAAGCCTGTTTCCATAGGAACATGTAAACCGGTGTGCCCTGCCCTAGGATTCTGCAAGTGATCCTCAACATATAGACCACAGCCAAGTCAGGCAACCATGATACATCCCAGTCCTCCATCCAAAGGCAGAGCCCACTGCTACAAAGAAGTAGCAGCTCCAAACCACATCTCTCCACTTTCCTCTCTACTGGCCAAGTGTGAATGCTGTCGCTCTTGCATAGAGCCCACAGCCCCAGGGCTCTGCACGGACTCCATGCTAGCCTCTCGGGCCCTTCCTATGCGTACAGAAACGTAAGCCTTTGGGTTCCAAATCAGCAAGAAATCAGGCTGTGTCCAGCTTTCTGATAACATGTGGCCTCTAATAAAAAGCAGAGGCCCAGGACCTCCGTCCTCAGGCCTCCTTGTATGGCCTAGGCCTACGAAGAAAAGAGAAAGCAGCCCACAGCCCTCACCTTTGACCTGCTTGGGCTGCCCCCTGAGATGCTGAGGTAAACTGTAGTGCGCATGCCCAGCCCAGGCCACATCCCAGGTACGTGGGAGTTTCCGCCTATGCATTTCTGGATCCCTGAGTCTCCCATCAGCTGGCTGGTGTCCATTTGCTCTGTCGAGACAGAAATTAATTCCCATTAATTAATTAATTCCCATTAATTTGGTATTAGAAACCTTTGCTATTGCCAAAATTTAATGACGCCCCTGCCTCCCTGCATGGTATCTCACATCTTAAGAAATGGTGTGCAACAGCCTCCAACCACAAAATTCGGTACCCATACCTTTCTCATCTTTTTCCAAAGCCCTCCAGGTCTAGTCCCAGCTCGATAACCAGTGCCCTGGCCTAGCCTGACCACCCTACCTGTGCGGCAGCTAGACTCCAGTCTTCCACCAGGACTGGCCCCACCTACAACCACCTATGCTACTCCAGCCAATCCACTCAATGCCCAGATGTCCCAGGTCCTCCTCCAGGGTCTAGCCTGGTGAGTCTCCCTGAAATCCCAGTCCGCGTTTTGTCTGCAACCTGAAAGGTCTAGCCTTGGCATGCCCAACAACCGGTGCCTCTGCTTGGTGTGAACTCTCTTGCCTATACTGCGAAGGAGCTCGGGGCTTTACCCAGGACCTACCAATCCCCAATCCATAAGCCTCCCCTCCCCCCAAAAGCCAAATCAACCTTTCCACCAAACCAGGTCTACCCTAACACTCCGGCTTTTCTGTATACCACCAGCCCAGTCCTCCATGATCACCCGGCTTCATTCCACACAAGCCGTTCCCAACCTCTCATCCTAACCACCCACACAACCTCGCTTCTATCCCAGCCTGTTCTGTCCCTTACAGACTCAGAACAGCAGCAGTCCGCATGCCCAGAACTCATCAGAAAAATGACAATATGGAAGATCAAGCCAGTACCTTCTCTGTAGCACGAATCCCAACTGTTCTTAATAATAAAAACCCGGAGCCAGTTATCAGGGTGTGAAAGCTGAAGGGTCAGAGAAGCAGAACAGCCAGCCACTAGGAGACTTTAGGGGCAATCCTGTCTGCCTCCTCAGACTGCGTCCTCAGGCTGACCGTGTCCTCAGTCTGACTGTAGCCGTCTCTACCACACCCGAGACTGCATTTGAGCTGCATTTGAGCTCCTGTCTCCTTCCACCTTATATTTCTCTCTCTGCCCAGCCATATCCCTTCCTGTCTCCACCTCCCAAGTTCCGGGAATAAAGGTATATGCCACCACCACCTGGCCTCTAGTGGCTTAGCTCTGCACACTGATCTTCAGGCAAGCTTTATTCGTTAAAAACACAAAATATCACTATACTTCTCCCTAAAACCTACTAGTGCTGTAGAAATGTTTGCCAACGAGAATTATCTAGATGGATCCCAGCATGCAGAATTTAAAAGAGCAATTATAAATTTCACCAAAGAATTTGAGGAGTTTAAACAAGACTCAAAGAACCAGCTCAATGGAATTAAGGAGAAAGTGCTGGAGGAGAATAAACACCTGAGCGGTGCCCAAGAAAACACAAACTGGCAGAAATGACAAAGACAATCTAACACCTTAAGAACGGAATGCAATACGGAGTTGGAGACATTAAAGAGGACTCACGCTGAATTGAAGGTGAAATTGAAAAACCCAATAACTCTACTAGAAAACTCAACGGAAAGAAGTACAAAAATGACAAATCAAACAGAAGATAGAAAATCAGGACTTAAAGATAAAGTTGAGGCGCTAGATCAAATAAACAAGGGTTATGATAAAATTGAAACAGAGAAAATGTGGAACACCACGAAACTATCAATCCTGATTCAAATTGTAAGCATAGATAAGGGAGAATAATCTCCAGTTAACAGCATAGACCAGATTTTCAACAAGATCATAAAAGAAAACTTCCCCCAAAATAAGAGAAGACATGCCCGTAGAAATACAAGAAGCTCACAGAACACCAAACAGACAAGACTAGAAAAGAAAATCCCCACAGCGTTTTGCAGTTAAAACACTCAGTAGATGTAACAAAGAGTGTTGAAAGTTACAGGAGGAAAAACACAAGTCACGTGTTGGAGAAGATTAGTTTCAGGTGTGTGACTTTTGTTCACACCGCATTTATTGAACTCTGAGAAGCTCTGTTACTGTGCCTGTCTAAAACACTAGATGCTTCTAATAAAGAATCCTAATATTGAACGGCCAATAGCAAGGCAGGAACAAAAGAGAGGTGGGGGTAGTAGCAGGCAGAGCGCATAAATCGAAGGAGAAATCTGGGAGGAGAGAGAATGAGGAGCAAGAGAACGAGGAGAGGAAGACATCGGGGTGCAGCCACCCAGCTACACAGCAAGCCACAGAGAAGAAGAAAAGCATGGTATACAGAAATAGAGAAAGATCAAAGCCCAGTGGCAAAAGGTAGACTGGGTAATTTAAGATAAGACAAGCTGACCAGAAACAAGCCAAGCTAAAGCCAGGCATTTATAACTAAGAATAAGCTTCTGTGTGTGGTTTGTTTGGGAGCTGGATGGTGGGGCCCCCCCAAAAAACCAAAGAAGCAAAAACCTCATACAACAATCATATATACAGGAAAACCCATCAGAAGAACAGTGTTCTTTTGCTGTGAAGAGACCCCATGACCACGGCAACTCTTACAAAGAAAAACATTTAATTGGAGTGGCTTACAATTTCAGAGGTTTATTCCATTATTGTCGTGGTAAGAAGCATGGTGGCATGCAGGCAGGCATGGCACTGGAGAAGTAGCTGAAAGTTCTACATCCAGATCAGCACACAGCAGGAAGAGATCGACTCTGGGACTTGCTTGAGCTTTTGAAACCTCAGAGCCCATCCCCAGTGACGTGCTTCCTCCAGCAAGGCCACACCTACTCCAGCAAGGCCACACCTCTAATAGCTCCACTCCCTGGTGACAAAGCATTGTCACCTATGAGCCTGTAGGGGGCATTCTTCTTCAAACCACCACACACCAAAATGCACATTCTACTCAATAGCAACCAGACGCTTTCCTAAAATAGACCATTTCCTGAGACACAAAACAAATTCAAAAAGATTGAAAACACTCCTTGTCCAACCACAAAGTAATAAAATTTTTAAAATGACAGCAAAAATACTCTAGCTCATGGAGATTATTTAAACAACTTGTTGCTGAACAATAAATAGGTCAAAGAAATAAAGAAAGAAGGAAGTAAAATCTTCCTGGGACTATGTGAAAATGAAAACACAGCACAAGGAACCTCTGGGATGCACTGAAAGCAGACTTGTCATGGAAAAGCATAGCTCTGGGTGCCCACATTAAAAAATCAGAAAGAGTACAGATAAATAATTTAATGTTGCAACTCAAAATGTCAGGAAAAAAATCCAAACCCAGTCAGTGGCAAGAAATAGTAAAAATTAGAACAGGAATCAATGAAATAGGAACAAAGAAAATCATACAAAGAATCAATGAATCTAAGAGCTTATTCTTTGAGAAGATCAATGAGATTAGCAGACTCTTGGCCTAACTAACCAAAAGAAAGAGAGAGAGGTCCCAAATTAATAAGATCAGAAATCAACAAGGAGCCATTGTACCAGACAACGAAATTCGTAAGATTATAAAGGAGTATTTTAAAAACCTGTACTCCATTAAGTTAGAAAACCTAAAAGAAATGGAAGAATTTCTAGATTTGGCCAAACTACCAAAATTAAACCAAAGAGTCAAAATCCTAAACAGACCCATAACAAGTAAGAGAATTGAAATAGTAATTTAAAAAAAAAAAAAAAACTTCCAGAGAAAGAAACAAAGTAAAACAAAACAACTAGGACCAAATGGATTCACAGCAAAAATTTTAGTAGATGTTCAAAGATCTACAGTCAATTCTTCTTAAACTATTCAAGAAAGAAAGAAAGAGAGGGGGAGAGAGAGAGAAGCAAAGAAAAGAGAGAAAGATAGACAGACAGACAGGAGGGAGGGAGGGAGGGAGGGAGGGAGGGAAGGAAGGAAGGAAGGAAGGAAGGAAGGAAGGAAGGAAGGAAGGAAGGAAGGAAGGAAAAGG